ACAAGAGTTGAACTTTTATTGTAAATCCATTGTTCTAGAGTTTAAATCCGTTACTCCTGAAATTTTATTGTAAATTTATTACAAGTCGTCGATAGAATTTTCAAGAGTTTCTCTACTTGAAAGTAAGAGAAAAGTGCTTCATGTCAAGTGCCAAACATTACTCATTCAATAATGGACGTCGACGTTTACTCTAAAGAACTGTTTGTTTCTAAATCACTTACAATATTGTAACATGTAAATTGACTTGTAAATTATATACGGATCTTAAAATAGCAAATTTTCATTTATTGTAACTGAGAAACCAAATAAAAAAATCAATTTTTTTAGATTAAAAAAAAACGTAATTTTCATCATAATTTGTTTTAAAATGCTATTTTGTAATTACTTTTTGCGATTTTAAATTGTAAAATAACATTAAATACACTGCAAAAAATATTGTTTACTATAAATATATTGTTTTTTTTTAAAGTTCATGAGTTGTCGTAAACATTTTTATCTAAATTTTTTGGATTCTAAGAGGGCAAAAGTGCCTGTAAAAAATATATCGTCATGTTTATGAGAATAATCAACGAAATGTCATAACTTACAGACACAATTTTGCTTTGTTTTTTAATAAAAATGTGTCAGAAATTGTGTCATTTTTTTAGATAAAAATAAATATTTTAGCATTAAAAATTATTTATTTTTATATATTTTAATATAAATAAGTCGAAACTGTTAAAAATAATTCAAATACTCCGTTTGTTCGTATGTCTGTACGGACTTTATTTTTCTCTTTATTAAAATTGAAAGGATTTTTAAAAGCTTTTTTAGGCTTTTTCATAACCGATTTTATAACATAATAATAATAAGTTTTTAAAGAATTTAAGTCATATATTATAATAAACTCATTTTAATTCGCAACTATCTAAACAATAAACATGACATATTTTGCTTTAAATTCTAAAAAGTTTATCAAGAATAATCTTGATATATTGTTAAAAATATTTTAAACTGGTTACATTTATGTATATAATTTTTCAGCGAATTATATAACAGACAGACAGACGTACAAGAAAAAAATTATACATAAACTCGTTTTCTTAAAATATGCGCTAGAAAATATTTGACAAAGTAGAAGAGAAACAAAAAAAAAGAGAGAAATTAATAGTTTTAGAGAAATATTTTAAACAAGAAAATTTTTTTCTTATTCTTTATCATTTTACAACATAGAAACACAAATATATCGTGTAATTTTGTAGATTTATGTAACTAATGTTCTAACTTACAACTTCATTAATTCATATTGGTGGGAACCCAGGAGAAAATCTATGAATAATTCATTCTCATTCAATAAATCACTTTTTTTTACAACTTAAAAATATTAGTTTTTTAAGATTATTTTATAAATTAAACTTTAAGAAATTAAAAATATATATTTATATAGCAGATTCATTTGTATAAATTCTAAAATTAGCAACAATTGTAATAAGGTTCTTGCAGTTTTTTTATAGGTAAATGTTAATTTTAATTAAAAATTTTCATGTTTTTTAAATTAAAATTATAAAATTAAAGACTAAAAAAGTCATTAAAAATTAAACTTCTTTTAGATTTAATTCTGATAAAACTTGTTTAATTTTTAAAAGCTATTTAATTCTTGAATTTTAATTAAAGATTGATGTTTTATAAGTTAACATTAAGGAATTAAATAGCTTTAAAAATTAAATCTAAAATGAATTAATTTGAATGAATTTTTTTTATTTATATTGATTAATATGAATTTATATTAATGTTTAAAAAATAAAGTAATCCAAATTTAATAATAACATTCCTGTAAATAAGTTGTGAAATTTTTTGAATGAAATGTTTACATTTTTTTGTTTTGAAAAATTTTCCTGTATTTTTATCTTTAAAATTTACTTATTTACAACATTTTTAAACCAAATAATCAATGGCATTTCCTGATAAATAAATGAATATTTAGCAATTTTCTTTTCAAAAAAACAGTATCAATGCACTTTGAAATCTTCAGATAAATTACAGAAAAACTCAGGATGTTATACTTTATTCATGATTCATCAATAAACTGCAACTAGTTACATCTAATATACATTTTAATATTGATAAAATTATATTTTGAGTGTATAAATTGATTAACCGACTTCATTTTTTGTATTTTTAGATTTTAAATTTACAATGTATCCGCCATCAATGATAGCAGCTGCCAGTATTGCTTCTGCCATCCAGGGTTTGATGTGGTTAGAGAAGAGCTGGGCATCTCAGACAGAGTTACTTAATCATCTGCATCAAATTACAGGCATTGAAGTTGTAAGTCACCCCCCTCTAAAAATTCTCAAGTATTAAACAGATAGGTTTACTTTTTAGAAGGGATTTTTTTAGATTTTTTCTGACATGGTGAGAGTCACAGTAGCATCTAAAAAATCTGGGTCAACATGTGTAATGCTATTATACTTGATAACATGAATTACACATTTTAAAATGATGTTTTTTTGAATAGGGAATTAAATAAATCATAATTTTCTAAGAAGTGTTATAAGTTGTTACATACTTTTTTTGAATTGATATAAGAGGGATGTTAAATAATAAAATGTAGATTTTAAACTGTCAGATTTATTTTATTTTGAAGGTTTTAAAAATGAATTTTCTTTAATTTTACTCAAGTAAAATTAAAGAAATTTCTTAAAGTAAAATTAAAGAATTAAGTATGTGGATTGGTTTTTTTAGAATTAAATCTAATAAAATTTTAATAGATAACTGAAAGAAGTTTTTAGATTTCTAGAAGACTTTTTTAAATATTTTTTTAGCTATTTAATTCTTTAATTTTGCTTAAAAATTTGTATTTAAAAAAAAATAAAATTAAAGAATTATCTCTTAAATACTCATTTATTTTTAGTTATTTATTAATTTTAATTTTTAAAAAGTAATTTAAAATTTACTTATATTTTTAGATTATAGGAAGAGAGTAATTTTTAAGCATAGTTTTTCTATACTTGAACATTGAATAATCATCTAAAAAATTAAAAAAATAATAATAATTTGTTGTAAAAAATTAAGGAAACATTCAAGAAAAACAAATTAATACTTTCTTAATTCTAGAAATATTTATTTTTTTACAATTAAATTACTTAAATTAAAAAAAAAAAGATAGCAAGTTCAATCAAAAAATCAAACATTGCATTAATAAAATATAATTTAAAAAAAATGTAAATTATTTTTTTGAATTATGTATTTAACATGACGTAAAGATGTCAGTCAACTCCAAAAAAGATACTTCTTTTTTTTTTTGAAGTTGTAACGAATAGCGAAGCTTTGAAAATTTCACGTGGGAGGTCCAACTTGTCAGGTATCAGGAGGTCACTCACCGGCTTCTTTTTTTTGGTACTTTCTCTTCTCTCCCACACGGGGCTAACCAGACTGTTTTGTCCCGAAGAACCTAGACCAAGGTCGGGGAGCAAGAGTAACGGGGGGAAGAAGAACTGTTTCTCATCCCTCCCTCGAAGGAATCTTATCTGACATTCCATCGTTATACAGGGAGCTCTGACCCAATATTCATCTACTCACCTAGATCACTTGCCAATGAATAACGCCTCTGAATTTCGCAGGATTTTTTTTTTCTTTTTCCTCCTTTTCCTAAATTGAATTGCGTGATTGATCCTTTGTAAATTTTGTATTTTCTAACAATAAATATGTATTAAGTTTATATTTTCGAATTTTCTTTACTTTTTTAAATGTTTATTCCGATATTCAAATGCGTGAGAATTTACTATATAAAATGTACTTAATTAAGGAAGCTTCAAAACTAACGCTATTTGTATTGAGTTTTCTTTTTTTATGCTTAATTTATTAATTAATAATTAAAATTAATTGATAATCTAAAAATAATTCTTAATTTTACTTTATTTTTAATGCTTATTTCACATTTTTTTTTTTATGAAGAAGTGCGCCATAGTAAAAATTATAACTAATTGTTTGAAGTAAAATTTGAATAGATTTTACAATAATATAAGCTGTAAATAAACAGAATTTTCGCACTTTTGTGCTATGAAATAAGCATTTAAAACTAAATTACACTTGGCGCGGTGTAAGAAGCAATAAAACAACCAATTTTGTGCTTAAAGAAATTAAATGAATATTTTGAAATTTATGTAATTCAGCTTTTAATTTTTTTATATCAGAAAATAATTTTGAATTTTTTTTTAAAAAAAAAAAGCAAAGATAAACTAAAGAATCCGGATTTGCAAACTCTTAAACACGCTCTATCGCATACCAATGCGAATGGCTATTAATTTGACAACATGTTTAACATAATATTTATATCATTCAAAAAAATTTGCCATTAAAAATAAAAAGTTACGTAATTTAGCGCATTTTTCAATAAAATTCGTATATTTTCTATGAAATTAAATACAAATAACCAAGAAAATGAATGCATTTATTTACTTTTTGTATTCTTAATAGCGCAGTTTGTATTTGCTAATAGCAGAAAATTGCAGTTTTCTTAATTTATTCATTACGGTATAATTAAAAATTTATCACCAAAAAAACAAAGAAATTAAATAATTTAAAGCATTTTTTTTTTAAATAAAATTAAACAGAAATAATTTTAAAAAATGAATAAATTTACTTACATTTTTTGGGCGATTGATAGCGTAGTTTGTAATTACTAATGGTGAAAAGAAAGTGCAATTTTCTCGATTAAATTAATTAATTTTAATTAATTAAATTTGAAATTAATGTATAAAATAGAAAGAAATTCCAATAATTATATCATTTATTATGATGAAACGTATCTGTCGAAAGCCTTATCCTGTTCCTCTTCCGATGTAAGTTCATCCTGTATCTACCCTTAGTCTTCCTGTTATCCATCTATTTCTACTTTACTTTTCTGTTATTCTGCTTCTAATTATGTCATAAACACTATCAGGCTGTTGCACATCGATGCTAATTATATAAATAGAAAATTGTTTGTGTATTTAAGCAGCGTATTTTCTTTGTTTCAGGATTGTCTTCACGAATGTTTAGAACAAATCGAAGAAATGTTATCTAGCCACGTGAATGCAGCTCATCTTTCTACAAATTCGAAACTAGCAGAAACGGAACAAGGTCAGCCAGAAACACCAACCGATGTTCAAGATGTACAGTTTTAGTTTAATTTTTCCTCGCAAACAATTGAACATATGTGAGAAAATATAAAAAAAAAGCTTCCTAGTCATCATTTATTTTAGTTTAAACAATATATATATATAGCGATTATACAATGCTTAGGCCATATATTTTACTGTATTGTGACTGTGCCTTACGTGTTGCAAAGGTCTAAGTTACTTTGGTAAAGGAAGAATAAGAAGAATAACTTCAATTCTGCTTATTCACGTGAATAATAACAATAAGAACTTGGTTTCTTCCACAAATTTGAGAAGGAATAAAAAAATATAATTCGTTATTCTAGAATTTTTTGTACATAAAAAAACTCATTCGACTCAGGAATCATACCTCGTTCGTCTCATTTACCTCATAATCATTTTTTTTATTATGTACTTAAATTGAGAATTGTTGTATACTTTTTTTCTTTTGATATCGTTATCTGTCCATATAAATAAAATTTTAAAACTGCATTTAAATAATTTTTTTCCATAATTTATTTTAAAACATTATTAATACATATTACACATAGTTTCTGCCACAATTATGGATAAAATTAATGAAACTAAAGCATATATACACGTCAAGAAACGAATAATAATCATTTCAGACGGATTTTTTTTAATAAGATACGAACCGTAAATTTAACAAATATTGCAAATAGCGACTCAAAACTAGTTGCAATTTAAAAAATTAAGTTTAATTTAGATGTAAAATATATTAAATTTAATTAAGTTAACGTTTAATAAGACTTAGAAAATTCACTCTAATAATAATGGATTAATCGAAGAATGGCTCATAAATGTAGGAATTAAATATGTATTTTTTAAAATTACTTTTGTAAATTATTCTTGAACTATTCATTATTTTGAATAATACATAAGGATATTAAATTCCAACATTTTAATTTACCTCTTTGAAGAACGTGATGCTGATTGTCAGATCAACAATTCCCACGTAATTAATTACATAACGATCGTGTTTTAATTTAATAACGAAGTGTTCATAATTTACTTTTTGTTTGAATTTCGACTTCATTGTTAAATTTCCAAGAAAATTCAACATTAAAATATTGTAAACAACTAAAAATATCAATGATGATGATCCCACCTATCCGGTACTTTTAACTACTTACTTTGATATTTTGCAAAGAGTAAATTAATGTATGAATGGTAATTTAAAAATAGTTTAATTACATGAAGTCATCAAATATTTTTATTTATTTTAAACTCTTTACTTGTCACAATTAATAGGAAATGATGTTCAACTGGATTCTGTCCAGGCAAAGAACAAACATGTGTTACAAAAACAAAAAATGTAGGGAAAATTCAGGATTCTTGGAAAAAATTCCCATTTTAATAAAAATTAATTTAATTTTTAGAAGATATTTATTAAATAAATGAGATTTTTTTTTTTACATAGAATTCGAAGTAACTGAAATCCTAAGATATAAATGTATTTGGAAGTAATTTTCGTAATTCTCCTTAAAATATCCTAATTTAATTTAGTTTCATATACCGTAACCAAATCTAGTCTTATTTACCATTAATTTAGTTAATTGTACCGTAAAAAGAAAGTTCGTATACTGTATACTATGTACTGTACCATGTGGTAAATTTAAGAGAATTTTTATGGCGTCTTCATTGTTATGAAACTCGTGAAACACACGAATTCATGTTCATCTGGTTAATTACGAACATCACGAAGATATTTGTGACAATCACCATTGTTACGGATCGTAAGAAAGATCGTATCGATGTAATCACTAACGAGACGTCATTCAAAACATGGAAAGAACACTAAAAACTTTAAAAAAAGGATAAGATACTAAAAATTAAAATGGTAATGAAGAATAATTTGCCACCGGAAACGTTACAACCGGAAATCTCGTGACGTAACATGCATGACAAAAACCACCTCTTTGAAGATTGTTGTTACATTTCCGGTGACAAATTACTCCTTTTATTAGGTGGGTCTTATTTTCGATGTTTTCTTTTGTAACGTCCCTCACCACATTTTTGTTGATCTTAACCACTAGACCATGTTATATCTGCAATTATGTGTTGATCTATGGATTATTTCACCATTATTCTCTGTATAAATGAGTCGAATTCAATTATAAATTTTAAAATTCTTTAAAAAATACATCTAAGATTAATTACAATTAAATTTAACTCGATTAGGAATTATATATCGTAACAACTTCATGGAATTCTGGTGCATTTTTCATGTTCTTATATTCAGGTCGAGCAGAATCCAAGATTTAAAGTATATTCTGTTAGAAAATGTGCAATATATTTTAAAAAGCAGCAAACAATTCTGTTATTGATTACGGTATCCTTTATGGATGACCATTAAAATTTATTATTATATAACTTATAAAAATTCCCCGAAGTCCCCTGTAATTTAATCAACAATTAACGCGCAATGTTAAACGTAAATGTTGGCAAATGAACATATTTAACGTTATATTTTTATATATTTTTCCATCACAGTCACATGTACCAGGTGATAAGAGAAACTCGAAACTAAACCATATGGCGTGTGGGTTTTGCAGGTGGTCTAAAATGATCGAATGCAAACAAAAGATACGCGATTAGACTACAGTAAAGCAATAAAAAAAAAACATTTAAATTATCATTTAATACCGTAAAACGTGTAAACAAACAACAGTTACGTTATATAGAAATAAAAATTTCTATTCTATAAAAATGTTTGGCAATTTATTGGTTCCTCCTGAAACTCGATGAAATCAGAATATTTAGTGATTGTTTTGGTTATAAATTTTAGAAATTGAACGTTTAGAAACTGATGGTGGACACGTTTTAGAATTGAAATACAATATTTCAATTAATATCAAAATTAATTTACAAAGCTTAATATATACGTTTATATGGACATTGTCAACACGAAAATTTGCTGCAATCATAATTTTAGTTTAAATTCTAAACATTAATTTTTTGAAAATTAAATTTTAAAAAATTTTTAATGAGCTTTTCAGCTAGTATTTGAGTTTTGAAGCTTGATTCGACTGATCAACTCATTAACTTGTAGCAACTAAAACATTGTTGCCTACTTCAGATTCCTCCAAAAAAACGTTTAATTGGTCGGTGTTGAGGCACGTTTATACCTTTGAATATAATTTTTCCCATAAATGGAACTGAGTTTCTTGACATATGTTTCGGCATTAACTAAGTTTCCATACTTGTGTTCGGCCCTTAGGTGAAATGACTCTTCATACAACAACTTTCTTTCGAAACATGTTAGGTCTCTTCTTAATCGACAATTTCACTATCTTTACAGTAATAATGATGAATGTTAGTAGTTTCGTTACGAACGAGAGTAGAGTAACTTTGTCGTCTATGGTAATGTCCTTTAAATGACTTAACTCGTCTTCTCGAAGCTGGCGTAACCTTTTCCTTTTCATTCTTAATCAGCTGTCAGAATACTTGAAGCGCTGATTTCTATTTCATTAGCTTAACGTTATATGTTTCGTGTCAATTACTGTTGTCATATACAGTATTATGCCAAATACATTTACCATATAATACAATACTAAATTTCAGTTAACATACATCATACCAAGTACCACTGCCAAATAATGTGCCAAATACTCAGTTACCATACATACGCCATTTCAAATACTAGTATTATATATTATGCTGAATACCATATATCAAACATTCAAATTACCATGTGCTAGCCAAGTACTCAATTGCCAAACGTACAATTGTTAGCGATTGACTGCCAACGGGAAATATGGCCACGTGTTCATGTATAGAGAAAAACCTCTATAAATAAACACTTCCTTCCTCCTGTCTGGACGAGTACTTTGTACGAGAAAAACGATCGTATTCAATACTTAATAGAATCACTACTAATTATATAATGTGAATGGTACGTGAATCATAAGAAAAAACAATATGTCTATTATACACTATCTACCGCATTTTAAGAGGAAGGAAGTGTTTATTTACATGAATTTCATAACTTCTCGTGGGAATGAAATCTATATTAAAATTCATTTTCCATACTTTTGAATGTACTTTTTATGATTTATTCCTCATAAACCTATCACTGATAAAACAATAAAATTGTTTTATTATGGTCAAGACTACTTAAATTGTAAACGCAACCAACGCAAAAAATATTAAATAAGACTAAGAACAAGTACTAATGATATTTAAAAGAAGTCGGATAAATATTGTTTGATTTTAAAAATATTCATTAAAATGGTAACTTATAATCTGTATTTACTATAAGAAAATTATTGAATTCATAGCTTTATGCTTACTAATCACAAACAATGTAATTGATCCAAATAATGACGTAAATAGCATCATCTTTGTCTTGAATACTCCACATTTAGTCGGATTCCTATATATTGAGGCATTCTGTATATATGATATATCTCATTATATATAAATTAGAGCCTTAGTTATATAAGTCACAGTATATCTTAAAATCTTAAAAATACAGAAACAAAAGAATTTTAAATGCTTGTTCTTGTGTAATCTATTAAGATAGTTCTTAACCTTGGAAATCATAACCTTGGATTGTTTTTTTACCCTTTCCGCCCTGTGGGCACTAAGACGTCCTTTTTCAAGTCCATCGTGGGTTCAGCCAGGTCCACAATGGGATGGCCGGGTGATGAGAAACAAAAACCCGACAAATCCGGGACCATCCCTGAGATTTTTCCAAATACCGGGATCTCCCAGCGAATCCGGGAGAGTTGACAACCTATGTTCATATTGAACTGGAATTCAATATTGAAATCTAAATCCAATATGTAAAGCATTTCAGTTCCATTGCGGACAAAAAATTACGGCACTTTCTCGTAGAAACCGATATATTTTCACTCCACCACTCATTACACGAACTTTTACTGAAATTCAATTTTAAATTTATTTCATTTTACAATAATTTGCAGCAATCTAAATATTATTTACGAACCCTTGAAAATTTAATTTTTTTAACAGTATAATCAATTTAAATCTAGCTTCTAAGTACCCGCCTACGTCTATCATAGGACCGAGTAAAGTACAGTATACTGTATTTATAATAAAGTAAAAACAAATTACGAAAAGTAATGGCGATATGNTATAACATTCCATAGTCTTACAATAAACGACCGTAACCAGTTATAATAAGTGATAAGGCTATTGTTTTTTCGCATACATCTCGTGTATCTGTCATTCACGCTTTATGCTTTCGTTGCAGAAATAAGTAACTTCTAATCTGCAAAACGCCATTTATTTTTTTATAAATAGATCATTTTCTAGATAAAAATTTGTAATCTTCCTTTAAAAGTAAATTTTTCAAGGATTTTATATGACTAGACTACTTATAATCGTTACTATACTGTGTATAATTTCACTTACATTTAAATAGAAAGGTAATAAATAATTATTTTTTATTGTAAATTTGTTATCTGGAAGTTTATTATAGATCCATTACTTCAAATTCTAGAGAA